ATTTACTCTTTCCTTCCCCTCTATATATTAATTGATTTTTCTTTCCAGTTTACTTTTGAAAAAGGAAAAGAAGCATAGGTGTAATTCTTGTTTGCTGGACTAGGAAATCATTTAATCTTTCTTAAGCATATCAGATTTCAGAGTTTAATTATTAACCAAAGTTAGAAAATCATCACTGCCAATTTAATGGAACCAACAATATAATATAAAACATTGACAAAAACCACAATATTATGACACACCATCTGCTTTCTGCTGAATTTGTAAGAGAAGATAACTATGAGAAGTATTCTTCTCTCTAAACTCATTGAAGCTAGCTGTTGGCAATGTAATAACAAGCTTGTAGCCTTTTGCAGCTTATCGAACCACGTGCACATGCTGTACTTGTAGAGTTCAATTACTTGTCTCCCTTCAGCAAGCAACATTCAAAGACAAGAAAAGAATGAAGAATCGAATTAAAAATCAAATGCTCTTCTAGTACTCTCAGCCATATATATATTTTTAAAGCGACTCGCAATTCAAAACTTTGGTTTCCTCTCGCCTCGTTCAAGAACTTGCTCTCCTTTTGGTTCACCTATGAGTAGTTTCAACTTAATAGACTGGACCTCAAATCCTTCACTGATTTTTTTATTCTTATCTGAGGCTTTTGAAACATAGTTAGATCACGCTAGATGTTTCACTTCTTCTCAATTCGTGCAGAAGAAGAACATTTGTAGCTGAGATTTCTTGTCTAACAAGCAAGACATCATGAATAGACAAAAAAATGAATGAACGGGAAAGCTGTCGTAATAGAGAGGTTGGATAGAAGAGAGAACAGCTTCTGAGTATATATATATAACAACTATGTACTACTTGTTAGATACTCTAAAATTGCAGAATCAAAACAGAGTAACAAGTCATTTGTCTTATCAACACAGTAAGTATTCACCTTGAAAGACACGCCACCACTTGGTAGTTGAAAGCAGTGAAGAGTAACATCAACAAAAACTCTCCATGAATCGGAGCAAATCTCATGTATCTCGAACCCAACAACTAGCCTTAGGAAAATAAAAAAAAAACAATTTATAAATAAACATTAAACGAACAGATTTGGCTAAAAGCAGTCTTTGGAGCTTTACTATTGTGACATCTTTGGCAATTCGAAGAGTATCTGAGGTCACGTTTCAAAGCTCACTGCTTAATTATTTACAAAAGAGAAATTACAAATTATCAAGGCAATCACAACATATGATCACCTCCTCGATTAATAGATCATCTTTAATAGTTTACTAAGTCTTTACTCACGCGGAATATTTTTCAAAATTATTTTCATAAAATAAATGAGTATTATATTTATTTGTTTATTAGTTTAAGTTATGTATTTATATGTTTTAAATCTGAATAAACATTGTATATCTTTAATTTTTTTTTATTTTTCAAATTATAATTTGCTATTGAATTTGTTTAGCTAACTAATTATAAATATATATGTAAGAATAAAGCAATATATTTTTTAAATACATTTATGCTAATGGCAAATGTAATCTACTTTCCTCAATAAATTGGCACTTGATCCTCCTTTGTAATTATATAAAGCAAAATGTCATTTTTAAAAAAGATTTATTAATTAATATAATTATAATTTGTAATTATATAAAGCAAAATGTCATTTTAAAAACTGAGTAATCGCATTTTTCGTCAAAAAAAAAAACTTCATTGTTCTATTAAACTGAGAAATAGCCCATTCTCGCAATAAAAAAAAATTCATTTTCCCGCGAGAACCTGTGTTTTCCTGCCAAAACCGAGAAATCACGTTTTTTCACTAAAATTAAAAAATTTCATCTTTCTGCAAAAACCAAAAAATCGTATTTTCCCGTCAAAACCAGAAAATAATTATTTTTCTACAAAAACTGAGAAATTGTCTATTCCCACCAAAAAAAAAAAAAAAAATTATTTTCTCGTCAAACCAAGATCATGCTTTCCTACCAAAACAGATAAACTAAAATTTCTCGCGAAAAACAAAAATTGCATTATTTCTCGAGAAATTGTATTTTTCTGTGAAACTAAGAAATTGCATTTTCCCGCGAAAACTATAAAATCACAGTATTCGTCAAAAACTGAAAATTTGTATTTCCCATCTAAACCGAGAAATTGCTTATTACCGCCAAAACCAAGAAATTTTGTTTTACCATTAAACCGAAAATTATATTTTTTGCCAAAACCGTCAAATTACAATTTTTTGCGAAAACTAAAAACATATTTTCGCGTGAAAACCAAGAAACCGCATTATCCGTGAAAAGCTGAAAATTTGCATTTCTTGTCAAAACTAAGAAATCGTATTTTCCGTCAAAATTGAAAAGTTGCATTTCCCATCAAAACCGAAAAATCACATTTTCCCATCAAAACTAAGATATTTTGTTTTTCCATCAAAATCAAATTTTTTTTTCCTCATCAAATCCAAATATTCACATTTTCCCGCCAAATCTGAGAAATATTTTTCCGTTAAAACCGAGAAATTTTATTTCTGCGCCATAACAGGGAAATCTCATTTTCCCGTCAAAACTGAGAACTCATTTTCCCAAAAATTTTTGCTTTCCTATTCAAACCATGAAATTTTGCTTTCATGTCCAAACCGAAAAACTGAGTGAAGACCAAGCCGGAAACAAAGGCGATTCCGGTGTTTCCGATGTCAATGACACCGGGATTGAGGTTTTCATGAATGACTGGGAGAAAGCCTGAGCTACGGAGCTGCAAAAGTAGAGACAAAACTGCAGAATAATTAAAACCATGAGAGATGGAAAGTTCTCATGTGAGGCTTAGCGGCGGAGAATAATCAAAAAGTTATTGATTTGTTGTCGGTAACCACCAGAAATATAAAACTTCAAGCTGTGGTAGTATGAGCTTTTCCTCATTTGCTTTCGACTTCCATTTTTTTTATAAACTTTGGGCTTTTTAATGGGTCAGATTTTATTATTGTGTTGATGATATGTATTATTGTTATGTTTTTATTGGTTTAAATTTTTGCTAATGTGTGAGCTTCTTATAACACAAGGCTTTTTGCGTTGTTGTCATGAAAGCATAGTTGATGCTGAGCCTACACTTTTTTCAATCATATACGTCTCTGTCAAACAAACAGGTAGCTATAATTTTATTTTATTATTTATTTGCTGTTATTTATTATTTACGATTGGGTTTGGCAAAAAAAAAAATATAGATTTAATTTTTTATTTTTTTAATTTATTATTTGGCTTGTGTTTGCCAAAAAATAAAATAAATATTTTTTTTGCTGTTATTAATTATTTGGGCTTGGGTTTTATAAAAAATAAAATAAAAATTAATACAAAAAATATTTGAATTTTTAATAGATTTAAATTTAAAAATTAAAATAAAAAGATGAGTTGTATTAATAAAATGTTTTGATTGATGATTGTTTTTGCTGAGATATCATGTTTATAAAGCTTCAAATAGCTGATGTGTCATCTGCAGGAGATACATTTGTATTATTGTTATATTGATTAAAACAAACAGACGTCTAAAATTTAATTCAGGCTGAATTTTGTTAATATCACGTTATATCCAAATGAGTTAAAATTTGGGCAATTCTCAGTAATACACTTTTTTAAGGTTTTGTGGACATAGTTAAACATCGTGTTAAGAAACTTCCGCCCCCTAACATATTTAGAAATGAACTTCCTATATTACCCCTAATTAATATTCTAAGAAATCTAAGAACCCTAGATCTCGACCGCCATAGAAGAAAACGGCGGCGAAGCCACCGTATAGAAGACAACAGATTAAAATCGTACAACAAACGACAAATTGAAATCGTACAACTTACCTAGATCTCGACTGCCGAGAAGAAGAACCCTAGATCTCAACCACCGTATAAGACAACGGATTTAAATCGTACACCAAACGGTGTACCAAACGGTAGATTGAAATCGTACAACTTACCTAGATCTCGACTGCCGTAGAAGACGAACCCTAGATCTCGACTGCCGTAGAAGAACAAAAATCTAATTTCCAATTATTTCGGTTCGATAACCACAGATTGAAACCGTACAGCAAACGTTGGCAATTGAAAATGTTTATGATTGAATTGAAATGTTTGTGAGTGAATTGGAATGTTTATGAGTGAATTGACAAGTTTATGAATTGAAATGGAAGAAGAAGATCGTCCAGGAAAATTTACAACTGTTTTCTGAATCTTTCCAATTATTTCAGATGTGCTTCCTAAATATTAAAAAAAAAACAAATAGGACGGAAAAGGAATCCCTGGTTATCGAACCGATGACCTCATCTACTCCGTAGTAAAGCTCTAACCGCTATGGCCGAATTGTTTCGTTGGATAACTGTAAGTAACTTCCTCTTTATGCATATAAATACAAGCAAAATTTTAGTTTTCGCCATTTCGCTCCCGACCGTTCGGTTCCCAAGCGAATTGAAGACGAAGCCCTAAAAGCTAATTTCTTTCTGGAACTACCGTTAACGGCGAAGAAGACATCGGCGACAGAGAAAAGGCGATAGAGAAGGTGACAACTAAGATTCAGTAAGAAACTCCTGTCCCAAAACTTATTTCATCTCGATTTTTTGAGAGATTTAAGATAGGCTTTAGTTTCAACTTCAATTTCAACTTATCGAGGGGTTGGTTTGTAAATTTGTGTAGTATAAACTTCAATTTCAACTTATGAAGGATCGTCCTAAGATTCATATTTCAAAAAACAATAGTGTTGGTTTATGGCTCTTTTTTGTAATTTTAGGATTTGGATTTAGGAAACGCCTTTCAAAAAGTTCTATGTTTGGGTTTTCTTTTTTGCTTTATGATCGACATTTAAGAGCACCTTCTAAGTGTTATTTGTCAACTCTCAAAAAATGTGTTGTCCATTTTTGGTTAGTTTATAGATTAGTGTAGAGGGAACCTTCAATTTTCACTTATGAAGGGTCGTCCTAAGATTCAAATTGTGACACACTTTTCGTTTCTGTTGTGACATTCTTCGTCTCTTTTCTTGTAGCAGTTTAAAATGGACATCACACTTTCTAAGCTCAAATACGCGATGGGGAAGGAACCTGTGAATGGATTCAAGGCCATAGACAAGTACTCGGACTTCAAGTACATCGCCAAGGTGAAGGAGATACTCGGGCCTGAGCAGTTTAAGAGAATCGAGGACTCTTTCTTGGGTCCGGTTTTGCAGTTCTGTTCGAGGGATCTATCTATGTCAGGGAAGATGATCCACACAATTCTGACCAAGACCCTGGAAACCAAGAAATAAAAGGAGCTGTGGTTTCATTTTGGTGGACATCCTATGAGGTTCTCTATAAGAGAATTCCATATGATCATGGGGCTGAAATGCACCGAATGGTTGCCTGCTGTTGAGGAAGAGGCAAACCACTATGATTGGTCTCGATTGGAGGATGGACATTCACCCGACGACCTGATAGAACTCATGGTCGAAGCCGGAGAGGATGCTCATGATGAGAGGTTTTCTTTGGCTATGGTGCTGCTCATAGAGACAATTTTTCTTCATAGGTATTCGAAGGCTATGTTTCCAACATCCAATCTACAAAAGCGCAACACATGGATGTATTGCTGAATCATCACTGGGGGAAAGATGCTTACGAAATGCTGTTAAAATCAGTGAAGAAGACTGTGGAGAAGAATCTAGAAAAGTCCAAGTACCCTCTGGACGGGTTCCCTTTTGCGCTTCACCTATGGATCTTGGAATCCGTACCCAAGCTTCAGTCGGCTTTCTCTACCATTGACAAAACAGTCCCGCCTACAGCTTTTTTTGTGTGTGAAATACCTTCACCCAACATCTCCTCCCATCAAAACTGTTTTGAGCATAGAAGGCAAAAGTGATGTAAGTGTCATTAGTACTACTCTGATTATCTAGGATGGTGTTTCGCAGTGTTCGGAATATGTGTCATTAGTTTAGGAAGGCTTTCCTAACAAACCATCGCTGAATGACGTATGTGTGTTTTTTGACTGTGCAGATGGATGTCGTACACATCCTTCCAAAAATACATGGTGACGTCGAAGACACCGTGTTTTTGCAAGACAAATGCGATGAAGATCTGCATTCGCTTGTGGATCTGTTGGAGAAGGGTTTCAGGCTGACACATGATCACTGGAAAACAAAGATTGTGAAGAGAGACGATGCATTGCCATACATTGCATCGCAGTCATATCGCTATCCCCATTCAGAAAGAGCGAGACAAAACTCCCGACCACCTTCTTCAGACGAGTCAGTAGAGGCGAAGCTTGACCAGCTCAAGAAGATATTCATAGATGGACAGAGACATATCCGTTCTCGGCTATCAAAAATCGAGCAAAAGTTTGGCATATATGATCTTTCAGATTCCATTGATGAGGTATTGATTAAAAAATATATATATGTTTATTAGAGATAGTTCTTTAATAAATTTTCTAACATCACGCTGTTATCTGTTCTTTAAGAAGGATATATCTGATCACGTCTCGCCTCCTGTGCACCATGAAACTGGTGTAAACCCAATTGAGGTAGGACCTTCAAGAAAAAAGACTGTCAATAGAAGTGGTGTGGTTGAAACAACCAAAGAAACTGATAAGGTACTTAAACAATTTTTTGCCATCTACATTTGCTAAAACATTTCGTTACTAATATGCTGTCATCTATTGTTTTGCAGATGAACGATGATGAGACAACTACGAGTAGCAAAGAACAGGAGGAAGCCCAAACACAGATGGAAAAGGATGAGAGGACCAACCAATGGAGGAGCAACAAACTGTTAGCTATACTTGTTTATTTTAGATTTCATTACTTTAGTAAGGTCTTCCTGAAAATTTGTTAAAAGTTACTAACAAAAAATCATGCACTTCCAGGTACAAACCCCGCCTGTGATATCGACATCCATGGAGACTGTTGGAGGCAATGAACCCGCGGAGATGGACAATGATGATGGGAGCCAAGAAAATAATGAAACAACAGTAAGAAAATCAGGATTCTTTTGCGTTTTGGTATTTTAGTAAGCTCTTCCAGAATTTCTGTTAGACCTTCCTAACCCAGAAAATATTGTCCTAGCAGGTACAAACCCCACCCGTGGTTGCATCCACGGAGATGGTTGCAGACGCGGGACAGACATAAACTGGCAATGATGATGGGAGCCAAGAAAAGGATGAAACTACAGTAAGAAAAATGAGGACTCTTTTGTTTGGTATTTTAGTAAGGTCTTCCTGAACATTTGTCAGACCTTCCGAACCGAAAAAATGTTGGGCTTCCAGGTACAAACCCCGCCTGTGGTTACATCCACGAAGCCGGTTGCAGACGCGTGACAGACATAAACTAACAATGATGATGGGAGCCAAAAAAGGATGAAGCTACAGTAAGAAAATGAGGATTCTTTTGCATTTTGGTATTTTAGTATGGTCTTCCTGAACATTTGTTAAACGTTCCTAACACAAAATGTTGGACGTCCAGGTGGTTTCGGCAATTGGCGGTCCTAGCGTTGCTCCTATAAAGGGAATTAGAGGCACGAGACCTAAAACATACTTGACGGAAGGTTCTTTAGTCGAAGTATCGGGTGAAGATAACAGGTGGTTCCCTGCTTTGGTTATAAATAGACAGCCTGCTCTAGGTCCAATCCGCAGCTATTATTTGAGGTACTTGAGCATTGATAAGTATGAGAATGTCCAAGAGATGCGGATCCGTCCTACACTGCCTCAGGTGCTTTATGAAGAACATGTCGCCAACGTTTTAGAGGCTGGGCAAGTCGTTGAGGTTTACCACAATGAGCACTGGTGCAGAGGGTGTGTGGAAGCGCCTATCGAGGGTACAAAGGTTTCTATCCACCTATATTATATCGACAAAACACAACTGGTAGACGTTATGGATACGAGGATTTTTAGACAATGGGTGGACGAGGCGTGGGATCCTCCTGTGGATGTGGCTATCCAGGTACATCGTTTTTACTGTGATAAAATCCTGTATTCTTTAAAACAATACAAAAATTTTAACTAAGTTGTTTGAATGTTGCAGGAAGATGCAGTGACGTCTGCTTCGCCCACCACAGTAGAAGACATTGCAAAGGTAAAATTCCTTTCCTAAAACTATTTTTCACCAAGTTTTTTGTGTTTAAAACTAGTGAAAAACATTCACATGCCCTGTTTTTACGAAAGCCTGTCTTCTTATCAAAGGTTAAACCAGAGATGGAGAAAGTGGAGAAGGTGAAATCCAAGGAGGAGAAAGTGGAGAAGGCGAAATCCAAGGAGGAGAAGGGGAAGAAGGAGAAATCGAAGAAAAAGAAAGCGAAGAAAGAGCAGAATGAAGAGCTAGAGAAAACATCTCTAAGAAAGAGCAAATGGTTCAAACAAACGGATATGTGATATGCATATTCAGAACAAAAAAAAAATAGAATGAATTCTGTTGGTGGTGTTAGTTGCCATTTGTTAAAATGGTTAATGGATTTAACGGTGTTTTTAGATGTGTTGTTTGCAAACATGGATTTGAATACATGGTATTTATCTTTGCTTTTTAAACAATGTTGCCTTTGGTTTAGCAAAATCAGTTGTACTTATTTCGGACCTTGTATTTCATTCATTTCAAGTTGATTTTCATGACAAAGTAATTTTATGGTTGCTAGGGAAAAGGAAAAAGGTTTAGGAAGCCTTCCTAAATGAACTTAGGTAAAAGTATATGATTTAGGAAGGCTTCCTAAATGAATATTCAAAAAAAAAAAATAGTTCAGGAAGGCTTCTTTGATGAAACTTGTGAAAAAGAAAATAATTTCGGAAGACCTCCTTATTTAATCTTGGCAAGAGAAAATGATTCTGGTAGGCTTCCTAAATGAATATTCAAAAATTGTTTTGGTGAAATTAAAAAGTTTTGGACTGTAATACTAGATTCCAGAAATAATGTTGGGTCCTTTCTTCTCTCGATATTTAGGAATAAATTGCAACATTTCGGAAAGGCTTCCTAAACAGTAAAGCATAAAACAAAAAGGTATAATTACATTCTACGGTTGTGTCGAACCGAAGACACATTTGTTTAATCGTAGAAGCACTAACCGCTGAGGCCGAATCGTTGTAGTTGTCCATCATTTCGAAGTTATGTATTTATCTTTTAAAAATATTAACACAATTATTTACTTTTGGGAACACTTCCTCATCGGCGATATCGAAGGTGATTTCCAGATAAAAACCTAATTTACAGCGGCGACGGCGATTTACAGTAAAAACCCGGATTTTCAGCGGCGGTGCATCGGTGAAGAAGACATCTCGACAACTAAAGATTCAGTAAGAAACTCCTGCCCCGAAAAACTACTCTCATCTCGACGACTCATAAAAATCTATCTCTTCTGATCATGATTTACCACTTTTTGAATGATTTAGGATAGGCTTTAGATTCTATTGTAGGGTTTGTTTATACATTAGTGTAGAGGTAACCTTCAATTTCCACTTATGAAGGGCCGTCCTAAAGATTCAAATTGTGACATTTTTTTGTTTCTGTTGCGGCACTTTTTGTTTCTGTTGTGACATTTTCCGTCTCTTTTCTTGTTGCAGTTGAAAATGGACATCACACTTCCTAAGCTCAAATACGAGATGGGGAAGGAACCTGTGAATGGATTCAAGGCGATAGACAAGTACTCGGACTTCAAGTACATCGCCAAGGTGAATGAGATACTCGGGCCTGAGCAGTTTAAGAGAATCGAGGACTCTTTCTTAGGTCCGGTTTTGCAGTTCTGTTCGAGGGATCTATCTATGTCAGGGAAGATGATCCACACAATTCTGACCAAGACCCTGGAAACCAAGAAAGAAAAGGAGCTGTGGTTTAATTTTGGTGGACATCCTATGAGGTTCTCTATAAGAGAATTCCATATGATCACGGGGCTGAAATGCACCGAATGGTTGCCTGCTGTTGAGGAAGAGGCAAACCACTATGATTGGTCTCGATTGGAGGATGGACATTCACCTGATGACCTGATAGAACTCATGGTCGAAGCTGGAGAGGATGCTCATGATGAGAGGTTTTCTTTGGTTATGGTGCTGCTCATAGAGACAATTTTTCTTCATAGGTATTCGAAGGCTATGTTCCCAACATCTAATCTACAAAAAGCGCAACACATGGATGTATTGCTGAATTATCACTGGGGGATAGATGCTTACAAAATGCTGCTAAAAACAGTGAAGAAGACTGTGGAGAAGAGTCTAGAAAAGTCCAAGTACCCTTTGGATGGGTTCCCTTTTGCGCTTCACCTATGGATTTGGAATCCGTACCCAAGCTTCAGTCGGCTTTCTCTACCATTGACAACACAGTCCCGCCCACAGCTTTTTTGTGTGTGAAATACCTTCAGACAACATCTCCTCCCATCAAATCTGTTCTGAGCATAGAAGGAGAAAGCGATGTAAGCGCCATCCTTTACTACTCTGATTATCTAGGCTGTTGTTTCGCAGTGTTCGGAATATGTGTCATTAGTTTAGGAAGGCTTTCCTAACAAACCATCGCTGAATGATGTGTGTGTGTTTTTTGACTGTGCAGATGAATGCCGTACACATCGTTCCAAAAATACATGGTGACCTCGAAGACACCGTGTTTTTGCAAGACAAAGATGATGAAGATCTGCATTCGCTTGTGGATCTGATAGAGAAATGTTTCAAGCTGACACATGATGACTGGAAAAAAAAGAAAGTGAAGAGAGACGATGCATTGCAATACATTTCATCGCAGTCATATCGCTATCCCCATTCAGAAAGAGCGAGACATAACTCCCGACCACCTTCTTCAGACGAGTCAGTAAAGGCGAAGATTAACAAGCTCATAGAGTTGTTCGTAGATGGACAGACACATATCCGTTCTCGGTTATCAAAAATTGAACAAAAGCTGGGAATACATGATCTTTCCGATTCTATTGATGAAGTATTGCAAAACAATATATATGATTAGAGCTTTGTTTTTTAATAAATATTCTAACAACAGGCTGTTATTGGTTTTTCGTTGAAGGAGCTTACTCCTGTGGACGTATCAACAGGTTTAAACGCCACTGGTTCGCGACGGAATGAATCGCTAAATCAGGTATGTATTTGTTAGCCAGACAAGATACTGTTTTATGAAAGCCTTCCACTAATTTAGGAATTCTTCCAAAATTATACTTGAGAAAATATGTGTGGTGTTGACGTTATCGTGTGTTGTTTTGCAGATGAACCAAAATGTGGCAGAAGGGAGAGGCAAATCACAGCAGCTGCCCCAGACACAGATGGGGAAGGAAAAGGTGTCCATACCACTGGATCGAGAGAGACGCAAATCACAGCTGGGAAAGAATAAGGTGTCCATACCACTGGACAAACAAACTGTTAGATTCTTCCTTTTTTCCTTGACATCAAAAGTTTTTGGAATGCGTTCCTGAATCTTTGGTAAATGTTTCTAACACAAAATGTTGGTGTTTCCAGGTACATACCCCGCCTGTGGCAACTTCCAGTGAAGCAGTTACAGGCACCGGACCAAACAAAATGGACAAAACTGATAGATTCGAAACAAAATGTTAATTTTCAAGTTTCTTTAGCATATTTTAGGAAGGGTTTCCTTAACCTCTTGTTAGGCGTTCCTAACACAAATGTTGGTTTTCCAGATAGTTTGCGGACTTGTCGCTGGTAAAGCTGCTCCTGCAAATGGGATTACATGCACGAGTCCTAAACCTTACTTGACGGAAGGTGCTCTAGTCGAGGTATCGGGTGAAGATAACAAGTGGTTTCCTGCTTCGTTGGTAAATAGACAGCCATGTCTAGGTCCTATCCGCAACTATTATTTGAAGTTCTTGAGCCTTGGTAAGTATGAGAATGTCCAAGAGATGCGGATCCGTCCTACACCACCTCCTCTTCCTGAAGCAGATTGTTCCACCGATGTTTTGGCACTCACGCAAGACGTTGATGCCTACCACGATGACCACTGGTGCAGAGGGTATGTTCAAGCGCTTCTTGATGGTTCAGAAGTTTGTATATGCCTTCATCATGTCGAGAAAAACGTTAAGTTCCAAATTAGTGACGTAAGGATTCATAGAGAATGGGTGGACGAGGCGTGGGATCCTCCTGTGGATGTGGATATACAGGTACATCATTCATGCTGTGGCAAAAACCTTGTATTCTTCAGAACAGTTCCAAAAAAATTACCTAATTTGTAATTACACTGCAGAAAAACACAGAGACGTCTGCTTTTCCCACCAGAGTTGAAAACATTTCAGAGGAAATCCGTGATCAAGCAAACGTAAATGATCAGGTATTAGACATCATTTTGCGTCATTCTTATATTATTGTAAAAACCTTAGTTTCCAAAAACAACTAACCAGTTGTTTTTGATTTTGTGTTGAAGGAACTTAAGGAGGATTCTCCAGACGAGGTATAGTCTTACGGTTTTTATTTTTCGTTAGTATGGTGTAACGAAATATGCTTCCCGTTTGCTTCTTACATATGTATACAACTATTGTTTCCAGATAATCCGAAGTGTCATAAGTGCTTACACCGTATCAGAAAACGATGATGGAAACGATGGAGTAAGAAAGAAAACATTTTCTTTTGCGCTTGGTAAAAAAAACATTTCATGCCTAAAAAAATTGATGTATGATCTTTTGCAGACGAATGAAAAAGAGACCCAAACAAAAGAACTAAAAACTGTAAGATTTCTGGTTCCTTTACCACTATTAGGAAAGTTTTCCTAAACTTTTGCTAAATGCTCCTGGCTATTTGTATGATGCAAAGCAGAAAAAAACAGAGAAGAAGCCCCATGATGAAGATGCTCTTCCGGCTAATAAGAAAAAGAAGAAGAAGGGTGAGGAGAAGTCAGAAAAGTCTAAGGGGAAGAGCGCACAGGAGGCTGAACAATGTACAGCTACAGTGAATCCATTTCAATCACCGAAAGCGGATCAGTTGACAGCCTATAAAGAGTGGTTGGAGAAGGGAGAGACAGCAAGGTTAGTGTATATGAAAAACATAACGAGTTGTTGTTATAAAATTGTTTTGTAATGTAAATGTCTTGACGATATCTAATAACAACACAGAATTGGTGATATGGATGCTACTGCAATCTTGTTCCAGAATATGGAGAATCCCGAAGCTCGTTTTCATGATACGGTAAGAAGGAAGTAATCATCGAATACTTATGTTCTTCTTTCTCGGATTGGCGGTAGAACATTCTTGGTTACTCTGACTCCATGTTCTTGCAGGAAATAGATGCAGTGTTGATGATGTTGCAAAAGAAAAGAGAGGAAGATGGCGCATATTTCAATAACGATAAATTCCCTAGAGCTGCATTCTGTAAAACAGACTTCTTTTATGAGCTGTTACAATGCCACGAAAAATTCGAGAGGTATCGAACAAAATTACCATTCCCTGATAGTGTTACAAACATTGTAAAGGGGACAGTTTTCCCGCACAAGAAGTGGAAGAAAGATGTAGATGTCGTCTATGGAGTCATTAAATCCATGGTTCCCCACTGGGTTGGAGTGAAAATTAATTTTAAGAGCTGCCAAGTGGAGAGTTTCTCGTGCAAATAGTCAATGGGAGAAGAAAGGAGTAGTCTTGGATATTGTTAGGAGGATAGCAGGTACACTTTTCCTTTTTACTAAATGTGAGGTGATTCGGGAAAAGATTAGTCAGAGTTGGGCGGTGTGTTTTACAAAACATGATTCCTGTTGATGAAAACTTATTCGCAATTGTTGCAGATATGATACCTACCCTCCTTGGCATTGCTGAGAACAAAAAGCCAAAGAGACATCTGGAACCATTCAAAGTCGTCCATCACACTGAAGAAGAGTTTTCCTTGTCCAAAAGAGGTTTCCGGGTGATTGAATCTCCCGTGTATGTCGTCAAGATGATCGAATGTCGATCATTGGGGGGCCATGACTTCTCAAAGGTTGCTCATCTGAGTGTTGTGGACATGAAGACCAAATATGTATGCGACATCTTTGAGCAGTTTGTGAACAACAAGTAGGACCTAGGAGACTGTTGTTAGTAGTTTTAGTTTGCATTTTGAACATGGTTAATGTTTTTTCTTTTCCCTGATCTAAAACTAAAACTTATGACATTATCTGTTTAGTAAAAGACTAATTATCTATGGACGTTGGATGAAGAAACAAGTTAATTTCACAATTTAGAAATTGGTTAGGCTGTTGTCGGAAAGGAATCCTAAAAACACAAACAAAAAATGAAGTCAAAAATTAGGTTACGTCACGGAGAATCGAACCGTTGACCTCGTCAATTGACAATGAATTATTTAACCGCTAAGAACGTGAAGGATAGTTGTCAGTCCGTAAGATCTTAATTATTTATACTTCATTTCGCCAAGGCATTAACAGTCAAGCGAAGTCTTTACATTTAGGAACCCTTCCTCACACAAAAACACGAACTTTCTTCTCTCTCTCTCGGCGATTAACAGAAAAACCCAGAGAGCGCTCTTAAACCCGTGGAGAACGGCGACGACTCTCTTCGCGAGGATTCACACAAATTTTACACATTTTTCGACGATTAACCCAAAACTGGTTCTCTCTTCGCGACGATAAACGGAAAACTCCAACAGTTTCTCTCTTCGTGACAACTCTCTTCCCAAACCCACAGGTATCAAAGTTTTTTGGGTCATTGTGTATGCTAATTTTAAATTCATCACAGTTTTGATGTTTCAATTAAATCTGCTTCTCGAACTGGGATACAAATTTCAACTCGCTGTTTTGATTATAACGATTACATCATAGGAGAAAATAAAAATTCCAAAAAATTTGGGATGCTTAATTAATAGCTTTGGAAGGTCATCATGAAATCAAAACCTCTTTGGCAAACAACATAGATTTGACAGATTCTGCAATGTTTATGTCCGAAGTCTAGAATTTGATGACAAAAATTGTTCTTTACTTGTTGTCTGTGGCGTGTTAGGAACAACATGGAGGATTCACAGCCTTCTACGCTGATAGCACTCCCGAAGTTGCATTACAAATTTGGGAAAGAGCCTAGGAAGAAAAGGCCATTGACCAACACTCGAAAACATCATTCATTGAGCAAGTCGAAGAAATACTGGGGGAAGTGCAGTTTAACAGGATCAGGAATTCTTTTTTGGGGCCTCTTCTGAAATTGAGCTCAAAGAAGATGCTAATGTCAGGAAAAATGATCCATGTTTTCTTGACAAGGAGTTTAATAACGAAGAAGAACAATGAGCCTTGGTTCCACTTTGGATCGCATCCTTTGAGATTTTCAATAAGAGAGTTTCATATGGTCACTGGATTAAAGTGTTCCATTTGGACTCCTCAAGCTGCTCCAGAAGCAAGTGTTTATGATTGGGATGATTTGAAGGCTGAGTCTCACTCAACTGAAGACCTGATCGATAAGATGCTCAGGGCTGAAAAAGATGCTTATGATGAGAAGTTTTCCTTAGGGATGTTGGTGCTGATAGAGTCTCTGCTTTTTGGGAGATACAAGGAGTACAAGTTTCCGAGAAGTTTCATAGAGAGAGCGCAAGACATGAGCACTCTGATGAACTATCATTGGGGGAGGGAAGCGTATGAGTTGCTCTTGACATCAATCAAGTCAAGGGTGCCTTCGCATTTGGATAAAGCGAAGTATGTTCTTCATGGTTACCCTTTTGCCTTCCACTTGTGGTTGCTAGAGTCGGTCCCTATGCTACAGACTGCCTTCTCAACAGTCAGCAACAATATTTCGTCCTCTGCATTCTTATGTGAGAAGTACCTTTACACAATATCTCCTTCAATAAACCAAGTTCTCACCATAGAAGGATCACCTGATGTAAGTATTTCGTCTCTTATGTTAACATGATTTAGGATGCCTTTGTGATTTTGTTTTTGTTAACATGATTTAGGTGCCTTCCTAGATGATACATAGATTTAGGATGCCTTCCTAGATGATACATAGATTTAGTAAGCCTTCCTAAAATGATACATAGATTTATGAAGCTTTCCTAAAATAATTTAGGATGTCTTCCTAGATGATACATAGATTTAGAAAGCCTTCCTAAAATGATACATAAATTTATGAAGCCTTCCTAAAATAATTTAGGATGCCTTCCTAGATGATACATAGATTTAGGAAGCCTTTCTAAAATGATACATGTGGAAACGAAAATGATTTAGGATGCCTTCCTAGATGGTACATAGATTTAGGATGCCTTCCTATAATGATACATGGGGAAACGAAAATGATTTAGGATGCCTTCCTAGATGATACATAGATATATGATGCCTTCCTAAATGATACATGGGGAAACAAAATGAATTAGGGTGCCTTCTGAATATCTTTAACATGTTTCCCATTTGTGTCTTACAGATGAAGGTGATCTTCAAATTGCCTGCTATATCAGGTGATACTGAGAACACAGTCTGCATAGAAGACGAAGATGATCCTGACCTTGAAAAACTTGCTGAAATTCTTACAAGAGGCTACTCCCTGAGCTTAGAAGATTGGATAAATAAAAAACTTGATCTAGTTGATGCCCTAGAGACCATTGGATTAAACTATGTCATAGTTCATAATGCGGAGACTTTCGAAGCTTTAAGTTCGGCTTTTAATACGAGGGCAGAGATACCTTCTTCTTCGCATTCAACGATTATGGCAAAGCTGGACAATATTATTCTAATGGTTAAAGAAAGTAATTCTTTAGGATCTTTGATCAATTGCATATGATAGAAGAGAAGCTGGGAATAGATTGGGAATATGAAGTTACTGTAAGTTTTCCTATTTGTGTCAATGTTATGTTTGATTTTTACCTAGATATCAGACTTTGAATGTGAGATTTAACAAGTTGATTTGTAGAAATCCGAAGGTGGTTACCAGAGAACACCTGTGCACAAGGGGAGTTCAGCAACGGTTGTAGCTGACGATGTAGAATCAACTGAAGAGGATGACTCAACTGAAGACGAAAACATGGATGATACACAAGTTGAAGATAGTCAACCAACAGAGGAGATTCCCCAAGGTGCCACACATGAACTTGAATCTCATGCATCTGAGGGTGATCAAAAACAAGCGCTAACACAAGCCGAAAATAGTCAAACAACAATATCTGAAGGGACACCAACACAAGAGATCTCCACAACACAAGAAATACCTGAAGCTGAGGGAGACCCATGATAGGTGCCAACACAGGAGATCTTTTTTACTGCTGAGGTAATAAGATATGGATTTTTTTTTGCATTTTCATCAGCTAAGAGAGTTTTTCCACGAAAAATTATATTAAATGTACCTGACCAAGTTATGCATTTGACAGAGTGAAAAAGAGTTGGCAGATTCAAATTCGGAGAAACAGGATACTCAGCTGGTACAGTCCCTTACTACCACAAAGCCAATCAGTGACAAAGATGTTACTCACAAGGTCAGATTCCAAAACGTTTGGGAAGCTCTTCCGAAAATATTGTGTTAATTTTCGGACTAATATGCTGTCATCTATTGTTTTGCAAATGAATGATGATGAGACAATTGAAAGTAGCAAAGAACAGGAGGAGGCCCAAACACAGATGGAAAAGGATGAGAGGACCTAACCAATGGAGGAGCAATAAACTGTTAGCGCTTGTTGAAAGTTAAAAGTTAACAAACTGTTAGCGTTTGTTAAAAGTTCCTAACAAAAAATCATGCACTTCCAGGTACAAACACCGCCTGTGATATCGACATTCATGGAGACGGTTGGAGGCAATGAACCCGCGGAGATGGACAATGATGATGGGAGCCAAGAAAATAATAAAACTACAGTAAGAAAATAAGGATTCTTTTGTGTTCTGTTGTTTTAGTAAGATCTTCCTGAACATCTGTCAAACGTTCCTAACCCAAAAAAATGTTGGGCTTCCAAGTACAAACCCCCCCCGTGGTTACATCCACGGAGACAGTTGCAGGCGCGAGACAAATAGGAATGGACAAGGAAGATAGGACCCAACCAGTAGAGGAGCAACAAACTGTTAGCTATTCTTGTTTCTTTTGGAATTCATTACTTTAGTAAGGTCTTCCTAATCATGTGTTAATAGTTCCTAACAAAAAATGATGGACTTCTAGGTACAAACCCCGCCTGTGATATCGACATCCATGGAAACATTTAGAGGCAATGAACCCATGGAGATGGACAACGATGATGGGAGCCAAGAAAAAAATGAAACTACAGTAAGAAAATCAGGATTCTTTTGCGTTTTGGTATTCTAGTAAGGTCTTCCTGAACATCTGTAAAACGTTCCTAACCCAGAAAAATGTTGTGCTTCCAGGTACAAACCCTGCCCGTGGTTACATCCACAAAGACGGTTGCAGGCACTGAACCCAAGGAAGTTAACAATGATGATGGGAGCCAAAAAAGTGATGAAACTACGGTAAGAAAATCAAGATTCTTTTGTTTTTTGGTATTTTATTAATGTCTTCCTGAACATCTGTCAAACCTTCCTAACCCAAAAAATGTTGTGTTTCCAGGTACAAACCACGCCTGTGGTTGCATCGACAGAGACGATTGCAGGCGAGGGACAAACAGAAGTTGACAATGATGATGGGAGCCAGGAAAAAAATGAAACTACAGTAAGAAAATCAGCATTCTTTTGCGTTTTGGTATTTTAGTAAGGTCTTCCTGAACATCTGTCAATTCTTCCAGAAAACTTTTTAACATTCCATAAAAATCTGTATTTTTACAGAATGTTAAGGGAAAAAATTCTATGGCTATTGTTTTATGGCAATCATCACCAAGTGGGGCGGGAAATCAGACTGATGAGGTTAGAATTTTTTAAAACAAAACCATTAACCTTTACTTCCTGAAACTTGTATCAATCGTACTTTGCAGGTTGCTTCAGAGAAGATGGGATTATCCTTCCAGAAGGATACATCATCTGTTGTTGCTATGGATACAAGTGCTAACGAAGAGTCTGCTGCTGAACTCCAAAAACATGTGAAGGTTGTGGATGTGTTGAGGATTCGTCCTACTGTTGCAAACACAAAAGCAAAGGAGAAGAGAGTTGATGATGAAGGTGATCGTCCGGCTAAGAGGTTGAAAACGTTTCTAAGGAGGAGCAACCGAGACCCAAAACAAAATAAGAGTACATAAAGTCCCTTTAGAGCGCCGCCAAACCCAGCTCTAATCACGACTCCTGAACCAAATCCTATGTTGGATCCGTTTCAATCCCCAGGATATGAGCTGCTATCAGCTTATCAAGATTGGGTGGATAATGACGAGACAGTAAGGTTGGTATATAGTATTATAATAATGTAATATTATATTATAATTTAAATTCTGTGTAAATTGATTGAGTTCATAATGTATAATAAAAAACGCAGCATTGGTGAAATCCAAGCTAATGGAGCTTGGTTCAGGAGACTGGAGAACCCATCAACTCGTGTTAACGGACAGGTATTATTCTAGTCATATAAACTTTATTTAGGGAGGCTTCCTAGACGAAAATAAGTTTGGAAGACTTTGAATATTCATGTAGGAGGTAGACACAGCAATGATGCTATTCAATGATAAACGAGAGGAGCATGCAGCTTATTTCCACAACAATCGATTCCCAAGGGCTGCTTTCTGCAACTCAATGTTCTGCAGTGAGCTGTTAGATTTCCACAACATTTTCAAGAAACCTCGGTGCAAGAAAGATTTTCCTGAAAATGTGATTGAAGTTGTAAAGGGGAACAAGTATCCAAACAAAAACTAGAAGAAGGATGTTGATTTCATCTATGGAATGGCTAAACCAAAGACTTCTCTACACTGGATTTGTTTAGCGATAGATATGAGGAAGAGGCGAGTCGAGTGTTTTAGCTGAAGACATCCAAAAGAGCCAAAGGCAAGTATTTTACAGGTCGCCAATGATATCGCAGGTAAAGTGTTTCACCAAAAATGATTTTTCGTAGTTTTCGATTACTTTCATGAATTTAAGGAAAATATTATTTTCTGAATTTAACTTGTGATAATTTTGTAAAGATGATCCCTGCACTACTTTGTGTTGCGGAAAAAATAAAGTCAATGCAGAATCTCTTTCCATTCGAAGTGGTATATGATTTTGAGGAAACAGTTGCAAAGTCCAGCACAGTATCCAACAGTGGCATCTTTGTACTCAAGATGATTGAGTGCCACTCTGTGAAGATTGAGGACTTTTCAAGAATTTGTGATGAGGTTGTTCAAGATCTGAGGAGCAATCTGGTTTGGGAAATCTTTGATCATTTTAAGAAAAAGTAGGTCTAACATTTTATTTGTTTTTCATTTGAGCAAAGAAAGCAACATCACGAAATTGTGGTTTACGATGACTAACCATTAATTGTGTTTCAGACTAATTGTGTTACAGATTTTTTGAAGTTGTGTTATGTTTCTTGAGATTTACTTGCGAGATTTTTACGAAGTTTTCACTGTTCTCTAGACTTTTTACGAATTTCTTCCCATATTTTTAGATGACATTAAGTGTTTAATCAACGGACGTCGTAACAGTGATTCAAATATGCCAAATAAATAAAAACGATTAGAAAAAGCTTCCGCGAAGGTAAGGAAAACTTGATATTATTTTAGGAAGGTTTTCCGGAAAAGAAAGAAAAGAGTAACTATTGTGCTTTCATAAAAAAGTGTTTGTTGTAAACAATTTTACTTCGACAAAAAATAATTTAAACATTGCGAAGGTAAACTAGTCTGTTTTTAAGTATTCAGTCAAGGAACATAACAGTGATTCAATATACCAAATGAATAAAAACGATTAGAAAAAGCTTCCGGGAAGGTAAAGAAAACTTGAAAGTACTTTAGGAAGGTGTTCCGTAAAAGAAAGAAAAAAGTACTTTTTTTGTGCTTTGATAAAAACATGAAAATTTTCTTAACAATTTCATCTACTTTAATCATATATACTTACGATCATTGATAAACTCTTTTTCACTTTCAAGTTACAAAAACAATTGTAAAAATTTAGAAACCGCGAGCTAACATTTTCGACAACGTTCTTTTTTACACAGTTAGGATCCTATTCCTAACTTATTAAGAACACATCCTAAAATATAAAAAGTGTGAAAATTTTTCTTGAGTGACAAATTTTTCCAAAATTTGTTTAGCCGTGCGCTAAATAATAAAGAATAAATAGATATTGCATTATATGTCAAAAGTACAACATCCATAGATATTGTCTTGGTACAGAATACATAATAAACACATGTGGTTCAACATCAAGAAGTAAAAACATAAAAACACTTGTGGACTACATTAAAAAAAGTCTTTGGTTACTTCAGCATCCCTCATTACTTCAGTCTTCCACTTCCCTTCAATATCCGTAATCTCTTCTGCACCAGACAAACAATAAAAAAATTTCTTTTAGTTACATGTTCAGTCAGCGAGAAAGTATATATAGGGAGAAGTGTTTGAAATTTTACACTTTCTTATATCCGAAAACTGCATCATCAATTGGGTTAAACATGAATTCGAAGCATGGGAAATGAGAGCGCATGACAATCTTATTCTCATCTTTTCCTACAACAAATCAAAGCAATATTTCATGGCTTCCTGACACTTGGAAAGAGAAAATGATTTTGGAAGACTTTCTAAAGGATTCTATCATCTTAAAATGTTCAACCAATAAGACAGAAACTACTCACCTTTACCCTCTGAAATTTTCCAAAAGCGTAGCACGCAAACATCGCCATAGGAATTGTGTGCCATATACGCTTCGTGAAACTCTCTTGCAATGGCTCCAAGAGCTACACAGGTAATCGTAAATTCTCTCCTAAAATTAAAGAACATAGAGAATATTATTTCATAATAAAACTTCCTAAAAATCATTAACACAGGACATTTGACTTACTTTGCGTCCTCTATTTCGAAACGGAGGTGAGACAAATCTTCTTCAAAAGCATCATTGCTATGATCTTCCAAAAAAAATCCATCCTCACGACAGTCCCCACTACATCTGATTAAGATCCATAGAAAAATTTATATAAAAACAGAGCAGAACAAAAATTTACCAATTAGGCTCCCGATCTCGTACACTCGGCTGTTGATATCTCTAAAACTAGGCCAATGAAGCAATAGACTATCAGACTCAATCATGTGGTCAGCACTCTTGGCGCCCATGTTGCCGTGAAAAATCAGATGATAGCGCACGACAGCAGAAGCATCCTCCACATAGAAATTGTAGATGGTGTACCACTGATTTTATCGAAAGTAATTGGCAAACTTCAACATATCTCCTGGCATTATAGAGGCCGATATGTGCATTCCCTGAAAAAAAAACATGACTGATTAGAAAAAAAAGTCGAAGTTATCATTTCCAAAAAATGAAGTAACGGAGAATAACCTGCTCGTCAGAGATTATCATCTCCAAAGTTTCACCAAGAAAGTTTTGTTGTCTCTAGAGCCGAAGGATCTTAACGCAGATGCTCCAATCACTCTCGTTTGTACGCAAATCAGATATTGCATCGTGATCAGATGGTGTTCTCATGGACAAGTGACGCAATATTGTGCACTTTCGTAAATGGAAATTATGGGATGGGTTCTTCAAAATCTGAACACAAAGGATGCCTTATATATAGCAAAACGTTTTTACCAGGAAACGACACGTTCGCTATAATTTTAACCGTTTTCAAATGTTACTATGAAACGACACGTCCCACGAATGGATATGCAGTTATTCTAAATAACCGTTACGAAAACGAAGGGATATGCAGTTATTTGAAAATAATAGAGTTTTCACAGTGTTAGGAAGATATAGGACAAATTTAGGAAGAAGTAACATTAGTTTAGGAACGATTTCGTAAAGAGAGATTTACAAAACCACATACCGAGAAAAAATATTTTAACCATGTAACGACACGATCCCCCTACTTTTACCACGAAATGACACGATCTCCCTATTTCTACCACGAAACAACACGTCCCACTACACTTATTAACCGTTTCATTACCGACTTATTATATTACCTAACGATGCAATTAGGTGTGTTCTCTTTCATTTATAGAGTTGGAAGCTTTTTTCGTGGTTTGCTTATGTTAACACGATTTAGGAAGCCATCCTAAAATAAACTTGGGAAACTGAACATCATTTAGGAAGCCATCCTAAAATAAACTTGGAAAATAGAACATGATTTAGGAAGCCATCCTAAAAATAAACTTGGGAAACAGAACATGATTTAGGAAGCCTTCCTAGCTTATAACCAACAAAAAGAGAATGATTTAGGAAGCATTCCTACCTTATAACCAGAGAAAAGAATGATTTAGGAAGCCTTCCAAACTGATACCTAGTAAAATAGAATGATTTAGGAAGCCTTCCTAAATGATTTAGGAAGCTTTCATAGATAAACCTGGGAAAGAGAAATAATTGAGGAAGCCTTCCTAAGTTCTCTATTACGTTGTTAAAATAGAAAAGCTAGGAACATAGTTGAGAAAACAATGAAACAGTCTGGAAAGCTTCCAAAAGATAAAAGTTACGAACATAAAATGGCTATGGAAGTTCTTCCAAAAATAACTGGAAAGCTTCCAAAAAACAATGTTGAACAAACGAATGTATAATCAGTCTACAGTTTAAATGTATAAGAAAGCTTCCGCATCCCTTGGACATTCCACAGCGAGAATCATATCTGATTCCTGCATGTGGTCTTGTTGTGTCCTCCTGTGCCACATATGCTGCACTTGTGTCCTTGGGATTTAGAATTAAGGACCCCAAATTCTCCTGCAGCTCTCTTCCTCTTCTTTGGTGGCCTTCTACTGCTTAGCTTCGTGTTTGGTGGACAACATAGGTAATCATACACACCATCAGGAAAGGAACACGTAGATAGATCACCACACGGATGTATGCTCTCAGCATAAGCTTTAGACCATGTCTCTTTGGTGTAGAAATCATCTACAAGCTTGTAGACATCCTTCCTTGTGCGTTTAGCAGCAGCTACAGCATGCACGCAAGGGATCCTGTCTATGTTGAAGACGTTGTAACTGCAATGCTTGTTCTTCAAATGCACAACATACTTGTGAGAGTCATCTTTTACCTCAAACTCGTTCTCATCCACTTGGTAGACATCCAAGACCATTGCTTCATCGTAGAGTTCAGAAATTTTGTTTGTTACATTCTGTGTCGCATACTTGTCTAGCTTTTCAGCTTTTATCCTGCGCTCGTGAAACCAGGTGGTAAGGGTAAGCCTTATAATCTCAAGTAAGGAAATAATAGGCAATTCCCTTGGAGCGTTTAACATAGAATTCAGAGACTCTGCGATGTTTGTGGTCATAATGTTGTATCTATTAGCAGGTGCGTAGGATCTAGACCACTTAACAAAATCTGCAGCCTCCAAGTAGGTGGCAAGTGCCGGATTCCTGATCTTCAAATCACAGAAAATCTGATTGAACTCGAATTTAGTGTAAGCATACGCGGCAGCTTCCACCATATGGATAAGACCTTTCTTCCCAAATTTAGCTTTGATGTTCCTTAGAAGATGAACTCTGCAAATACCATGATGGGCGAGGGCATACATTACTGACAGAGCTTTAGCAATGGATGGCGCCCTATCAGACACAAACACCAAGTCCTCTGCATCAGGGATCACTGACTTCAATCCTCTAAAAAACCAAGTCCAAGCATCTTCATTTTCGGAATCTACAATACCAAAAGCTAAAGGATAGAGGTGGAAGTCTCCATCTTAGGCAGAAGCTCCTAGTAGAGTACCATTGAACTTGCCTTTGAGGAATGTGCCATCTACAGCAATCACTCTCCTCATGTACTCAAAACCTCTTAAGAATTGACCAAATGCAACAAATGTATATTTGAACTTTCCCTCAGGATCTGTCTCTAGGAAACACTTTGATCATGGATTGGTCTCTTGAACCTTACACAACCACTTAGATAAATTTAGGTAGCTTTCTTCAGGAGTTCCTCTACCAAATTCTGAGCATGCTCTTTCATCCTCCAAGCCTTCTTGTAATTAATTTGTGCCCCATGAGTCAATCTTACAAGTTCCATTATCTATTTTGGCTTAAGACCATCTTTCTTCTCTGAGTAATCACTGCATATCGAAGAACCAAGAATTTTCGAGGTTGCTTGCCTGTGGTTAGAGTTTCTATATGTTGTATCACAGCTATGTATCTCAACAAAGTGCTTCACCATAAAAAGTCGGAATCAACAAGCTTGGTTGCCCTCATCTGCCAACTGCATTTCTCATCCACACAGCGTAATATATCCCTAGACTTGTCTGAATAACAAGTTCTGAATTCAAATTTCCTGTCAAGTGCATACTTCCTCATCTTCTGCATTAACTCTTCTTTACTCTTGAAATACTGGTTCACACGAATATCGTTGTTTCCTGCAGTCGAAGCTGGTAGTCCTATAGGAACTGGAAGAAGATCTACAAGAAGCAAACCACTAAAATAGTTTCCCTTTTCAGCAGTAGAGCATGTCTCCTCAGTAGCTTCGGTGACTGAAATGTTGCTCTCAACTGGTTCAGTTTGATTGTACGTGGTGGTTGAATGAGTGTTTACTCCAATATCCTAAAAACAATGTTATATCAGTTAGAATTGTAAAAGAAAACAAAAGAAAAGACAAATTTAGGAAGCGCATGCATATGAGCAATAAAGTTAAAGCCGTTTTAGGAATACATTCCGGAAATGCTTTCTAAAACAATCACGAAAACTGAAGCAATTATATAAGGAATAGGATACCTGTTCAGTTTGATTGTAGGTGGTGGTTGAATGCGTGTTTACTCCAATATCCTAAAGACAATGTTATATAAGTTAGAATTGTAAAAAACGAAAGAAAAGTCATAATTAGGAAGCGCTTCCACGTTAGGAATCAAGTTAGAGCTGTTTTAGGAATACCTGTTCTGTTAGGAACCGCTTCCTAAAAAATCACGAAAACTGAGGTGAATATATACGCAATAGGATACCTGTTCTGTTTGGGTGTACGTGGTACTTGAATGATTGTTGCTACTACTAGCTTGAAAACAAAAAACAACACGAGTATTTAGGAAGGAACTTCTCTCATTTGGAAGTTATTCCTAAACTCATGGTAACTGAAAAATCGAGAAATAGAGAGGATACCTGTTCATTTTGGTCTTGTTTGCTGCTCGAAATATTAGTGCAGATGGTAGCCTAAGAAAATATATACATACAAGCCGAGTCAAGAAACAGTTGCGTACATTTAGGAAGGCTTCCTAAATGAAATTTGTAAAAGAGTAAATGATTTAGGAAGGCTTCATAAATGAATAGAGAAGGTAACTGTTCATTTTGGTCATGTTTGCTACTTGAAATATTATTGCAGACACTTGCCTAAGAAAATTTTCAGAAATTATAGTTAGGAAAGAAATAAAACACAAATGATTGAAAAAATTGACGAACAACATTAAATTTATTTCACTAATTACCCATACAATGTTACCTGTTGTGTAAAATTCTCAATCGTTGCAAACAAACGAAGAATTTCAGCAGCTTCTTTCATCTTTATGAAGAAGCCTTTTACTTGGCGATCATTTCTGATTTGAAAGGGAGTATCATATCCTAAACTTCCTGTCATAAGGGGATCTCTGTAGGTGAGAGTGATTACAATATCATCCATTCCCAAATCAGCCTTCACAACCCTTAGAAAGTTTTCATATGTGATATCTTCATCAACAACAGAGAATGAACCTCTTCTGCTTAAATCTACTTCAAACTCCCACTGATGATTCTCTCCGAATTTCCAGTCGCCACAAATAACATATACACCAACCATATTTCTGTGAATTACAAAAACAAAAACATAGTTAAGAAGAAGAACAGAGAAATATACTAAATGAAGCAACCACAAAGAAGTATATGATCTTGGTCGATGAACAAGAAGCTTTGAAAACAGCACTATCCCTGACTAAAGAAAGTAAACATTAGGGCATCATGCTCGTCCTAAACATGGTCGATAATTGAGGAATCATAATCTAACACTTTAGCCATAATCTACTTTGATGTTAGTTATGAAGACATTCCTAGAACAGAAGAATGTCTTCCTAAGAGTAATCATGGGCTACGACTCTCTATATGGACTACGAGTAATCATCCAGTAAACAACTCAATATTCGTGTACGTTATACTAAATCAACAATCCAAAATATATGCATACAAGCCGATTCAAAAACAATTGTGAACATTTAGGAAGGCTTCCTAAATGACACTTGCAAAGAGTAAATAATTTAGGAAGGCTTCGTAAATGAATATTCAAAAATTGTTTTCGATTCAAGAACAGCTGCGAACATTTAAGAAGGTATTCATGTACCTTCCTGGAATGATCGAATATGTCGTCGTGTCGATGGATTCCAAACTTCCTCGGCGGTGAAGCTCTAAGGTCGTCTATTGTAGCCAGAGATGAATCGTGAAACTATCGTCGTCGTCACTTGTGGCCAATTGACGCCGGTGAAGGAAGGAAATGAATCGCAAAACTATCTGTAGTTTTTGAGGCTGGGCAATCGACCTTGCCGATGATCAAATTTCAATTGTATATCAAAACTCTCGTGAATTCAAGCTTGGTGATGAATCGCGAGTCCTCGTCTTCTTCAATCACTGGAGATCGTCGCCGGAAACGTCATCGCCGGAGAAGATCGTAACTCTCGCGAATTAAAGCTTGGTGATGAAGCGTGAGTCCTCGTCTTCTTCAATCGCCGGAGATCGCCGTTGGAAATGAGTCGAGGAAACTCTCTTCATCGTCGCTGGAGACGATCGAAACTCTATTTGTCGTCGCCGGAAAAGATCGAAACTCTATTCGTGGTCGCAAATTCAAAAAGCTGTTAATTAAAAAAAAAATACAGAACAAGGATAATTTCGTCAATCTAAACTATAAAATGTTATGTGACAGGAAATTCTATAGCGTGTTGTGTACATGTGAAAAATATACTTTGATTGGGTGTATCTAAAGGAATTTCTCTTAAAATTCACCAAAACCCATCGCGATACATAAATATGTTATAGATGAAATAAACAAAAACCCATACATATATCACAAACCTAGAGCAAAACCTAAAAAATTCTCTATATGAAAATCTCATAATAATAGACTCTTGCAGTATCATATCATCTATAAATTCAAAAGTTAGCTGTTGGGGCTCAACTTTGCTGCTTACTGATTTGTAACAGCGTCAAATAAAAAAAGTTAGGCACTTTTGTAAATAAATAAGCTCAAGCAAAACAAACCAAAAAGAATCAGACAGTAAGAGCTAGGTGATTGTGTACCAAAAAAAATATTCATTAAATGATGATTCAAACGAAGAAACAAAACTTAATTAAGTTGCAAGAACTCACTCACTTGTTTTGATTAAATTTGAACAAGACTTGGAACATAGTTGAAAATGAATGGCCATCTTTTAGGATGCATAAACGATGGTTCTCCTATAGGGATTTCTGTGTAATATTCACCGTCCTCTCCAATAGTGAATACCATGTTCATGTTCTCAGCCCCATAACGTGAACACAAGGCCACTTTCTTCTCCTCGTCGATCAAAAGACTCGTGAAAGCAGAATAGTGATCATTTGAAACGAAAGTACAGGGTAAATCGACTGCAAAGAATTCGCTCCATGACAACTTAACTCCAGTACCAACTTTGTTGGTCACCCACATCTCAATCTTCGATGAACCATAACTATTAATCAACATTGAGAGTCGTTCTTCTCCAGCAACTGATAGATCCCTATAACTACAAAACAGAGATGGGTGTAGAGGCATTTCTAGAAACAACTCTCTTGTAAAACAAAATTTCTGTAAGTTGTTATCATCACCAATCCAGTAAGAATCTCCCTTCAGGCACACGCCACTTGTTGTGATGAAGCTGGGAGCATCAACAACTCTCCATGAATTAGAGCTTAGCTCAAAGATTTCAAATCTATCATATTCTTCTTCCCAACACATCAAGATCTTGTAGATGCGGCAAGATTGGTTGTTTTCGTATCCTAGAGCAAACATACAGTCTCTAACGTAACCAGTCTTGTGTTGGATCCACCTTGTTTCACCTAAACACGGATTCCATACGACGGGTCTATTGTCACTGGTGATACATAACAACAAACCATCGCAGTGAAAAACTTCACTTGTGCTGAGTTATTAGAACTGGAATCCGTTAGGTCAAGTTCGTCTTCAAACTCAATAGATGGAGGAACAACGTTGAGATCGACGCTCAGTGGAAAAATCTCTGACTTATTAGAAATGGAATCCGTTAGGTCAAGTGCGTCTTTAAACTCTAATGGAGGAACAACGTCGAGATCAACGCTCATTGGAAATATCCTGAAATCCTTCAACATGAGAACACGGGGCTGCTTTGGAGCTCTACGGAAGTGCTTCTCCCTGAATCTTTGGTCTTTGAATAAAGAGCTCCATCGTTTGCAAGTCGATCGAAATCGTTTCAGAGATGTGGCCGGAACCCAAGAAAGTATTTCATCTACCAAATCTGACGGAAGATATGGCAACACCATTGTTTCGCTCTTTGTGATCTGGTCTCCCGAGGAAGAAGATGAAAGATGACTCGATGAGGGGCTCTCTCTAACTTGATACAGTATTAGGGTTTTGATTTTTATTGTTTTTCCACGTTTACCCTAGAACCAATTTCTTTTTTTTTGTTGAAAACAATTTTATTGATATCAAAGATTATAAAGTGTGGAAGCTCCTTAATCCAGTGGTCAACTAAAGGTTCATTAATGCTTCTATACCAGGAGGTCTGGGTTTCGATTCTCAAAAGATGCGACATGCGCAATATATGATGAAGAATTTGCTAATAATAAAAAACTCATTTTCTCTTTTAAAAAAACTCATTTTCTTTTCTTTTTCCAATTTGCTAATAATAAAAAAATATATAATCACCGGTGGTGACTGACAGATATATATACTATTAAAAGAGAATATAATTTTGCCAATATATATATATTTTAAATATACATTTTTATTGACCTATTAATAACTAAATCAAAATAAATTTTATCATCTTTACTTATCCTAAAAGTGGGTAGATGGTTGGTCCGCACATTCGTGCATACCAACCATCTCACCGCTTTTAGGACGTATATATATTTAAAAAAAATATATAAATTTTCTAATAACTAAAATTAAAATTAAACTGTAATCAAGTTTAACAAATTGTATGCACGACAAGTTCGCATGCGACTTTGACTTATGTACGATTAATATTTATATATATATATATATATATTTGTAGAAAATCGAAGTATGACTTTTGTGTGTTAAAAGAAAATAACAAAATATATGATTTGTAATATATATTTTTATAATATGTGGTTGATTTTTTTTTAAAAAGTAATACATATATTTATGCATGTAGGTATGAATTAGAAATAAGTGAATTGTAATATTTAGGTGTTGGTTAGTTTTTCTGATATTTTCTGCAAACGTTATGTTTTTACATAATGCAGTTTTTGGCGTTTAACAACAATCACGAAAATCGTTTCTTCCGTTTTGTATTTAATCAAAATTTCTTATTTTCAGCGTTTTATGATATATGATTTTAAAATAAAAAATGATAAACATTTATTACAAAATTTGTGAAATCATATTTTATAAAATTTTCCGGTAGCTCTCCACTCATCTCTTCGTCAAATTTTTTATAGTCCGCAATCGCTCTCTTCTACAAACTCTCAGTAACTGCAGCATTTAAACCAGTCGGATTTAAACTTATATGTATATAATTTAAAGTGTAAAATAATATATTTAATATTTGACTATTATATTAAAAATTAAGAGTTCTCGTGTTCCTAACTTTAATATATTTGTTAATATAAAATATAATAGATCACAACATATAAAAAACTTGATTCATTCATGAAATAATGTTTTAATATGTTGAAAATAATATATGTATAAAAGAATTAATATGTGTAACATAATATTTTTAAATATCTGAAATAAAAACATAAAATCAATTAAAATTATTTTTTTTTATTTTTTATCATTCTTTGATTCATTTTTTTCTTAACTTTAAATAACATATTAAACGTTAAGATCTTCTCCAATGTAATTTTCTATTTTACAGGAAAAAGAAAAATTGTTACTTTTTTTCCCAACTATAGTGGAAAGAATAACATTTTTATTTTTCTTTATTAGAAGATTTAAAATAAAAGTGGCTTTAAAATAGTTTATATCAAATATATAGCTTGAGATTTTTACAAAAGCCCAAACTCAAAAAAATTATTTTAATTTTATTTATAATTTATTTTTCTATTCGTTTATTTTTTATTTTATTTATAATTTTGAAATCGTGCTAGATCTTAATATTGTATATTGAAGATGCTCTATTTATATGATTAATGATATAATAATAATAATATTACATATAAAATTAATAATAAAAATTAATGATAATTGAAATAAAAAATGTGATAGATATACATAAAAAATAAATATTTTATATGATCAAAAGCATATAAAATAGAATTTAAAAATATCAAAATTAATAAATTTTTTGAAACACTTCAATATCAATTCGGCCCAAATGCGATATTAGTTACTGTTTATATGATCAAATTATAAGACTTCAACATTGAGCAGCTGCTCATCAAAATTTGACCAATACGACAATATACTATCTGTTCAAACCAGTTCATGAGGAACACATTACAAATAAAAAATGAAAGATCAAACACAAACAAAACCAAAGAACCAATTTTATTTAGCAAACCTTTCTACGGCGGGTCTTGACCATGAATTCACGAGCTAGATGCTGAGTGGGGGCGGGCTCCAGTGGGCGCAATA